TTCCGGGAGCGTATCCAGGAGGATCAGAAGAGAAAGCCGTCGAAGGAACTGCTTCTGGGGGTGGAGGAATTCTAGAGACGGCGAAGCAGTATATCCCGGGCCAGGAAGACGTTGGCAAAGCGTTGTCCAATGCCACGGAGACGGCAAAGCAATATTTGCCCCAGGCTGTGGTTTCGTATTTCCGTGAGTGCCATTTTCATCAAGACGATTACGGCCTCTGACAAAGTTTCAGCCGATTCGAACTCGTCTGGAAGCAATCCCGCTGCCGAAGGTGCGGATAAGGAGGCTCCTGCTGTTCCTGATGAAGAATACGACAAGGGGACGAAGGAAACCAGCGCTGAGCCAGCCACCAACACATCCATGCTGACCCCTGCTACGAATCCTGCATTGCAGCCGTCTAAACGGAGCGATTCTGAGGCTCCATCCATTTCTGAGCTGAGCACGGTGACGCAACCGGGGAGCGGCAGTCAGATAGGTACACCGCCCATCGTTACACCGACTGCATCTACGAAAACAAGGGGCGTGGGTGACCTTCCTGGACCTCCCTCAGAGGAAAACGTTGCAATGTTACCAGAGGAGCGGAACAAAGAGCTCCGAAAGACAGCAGGAGAGGAAGTGAGTGCATGGCCATACGCAGCGCGTTCCAGGGTGCTGATGTAGAATAGACTGATCTTCCTGCTTCCCCACCAAGTATCACCCCAGTGCACACAACGCCGCCTACTCATGAGCAAGACAATTTTGACACACTATTAGACCGATCGTCTCCAACTGTATGTCGTCCGTTATCTAACCTAGTATGAGTCCTCATTTGTTGTCAGGGCCTACACAAGGGACCAGCTCCCTTACCACCCATTACGAATGATAACTTGGATGTCACTGAAACTGGTCACAGTACAAGTTCCAATGGCTCAAAGTACGTCGAGATATTCGCTGTTTCGCCACAGATTTCTAACAACTTCGATAGTAATGGAAGTGTCGGGAAGAAGCCGAAATTCATGGACAAGGTTAAGGGCGAGGTCAAGGTTCTTTCGGGAAAGTTGGGGAATAATGAGACCAAGATCGAAGAGGGAAGGAGAATGATGGGTAAGGCATGAACGGTTGTTTTTTTCAAGGTTCTCTTGCTGTGGTGTATGATAACGGAGATGTCGGTATAGTAGGATTTTTGTCCCGTAATCGCTGTTAATACAAGAGGGCAGTGTCGAGCTATTGCCAATGTCAAACTTCGATAGATTTGCGTAGACAGAACAAAACATACCTGTCGTCCACAAGATTTATACGACTCAAGAATACGCATATATGCGCTCATTCGCAGGGGCCCCGAGTAATTATATGCACCCTTTACATCAAAGAAAGAAAATTCCTCGATGTCGCATCAAATTAGTTGACCGAATCTGAACAATATTGAATAAATGCAGAAATTCCATGAAAATAACCGAACCTCGACCAGATCAATGCTAACCGTAACTTGTCTCCGTTATATTATCATGCTTTTTGGGCAATCTGGTGTACGCGTTGCGTCAGAAAAAGTCCGAACATTAGACGATGTATGCGTTGGCGAACTTGAACGCTTCGCATCGTCAATCGTCTAACCGTACCGAGAACATCGATGCTGGAAAATTTGAGTTGCCTCCTGCACGGATACGCGCGTGGGAGACGGTGATGATGGGTGAAGGAAAGAAAGAGGTGTGGCGTTCGCCTCCGCGTAGAGCGCACGTGTCACAAATGACTAAGCCACACGAAGTTGATATCGGGCCGAAGCTCCGACCCCACTAACTTACCATCTCGCGACTTTTCAATCCTGAAGGCCAATGATATGGGTTGATGTGAGGGATTGGATATCCAATACCCTGCTTTTCAGGGATTCCTTCGGCGCTCCCTGCTGCTCCTCGGCAAAACTGACGCCTGACTGTTTAATTCATGGTTTTCCGACCTGTCTTGAGAGCCCGATGTTAGTATTGCTCCTTATCGTCTTCATGCTATACAAAGACTCATATTTGAACGATGCGAAACAGAACTACAACTATGGGATGTCAGGCGAATCATATCATAATAAAAAGCTACTCATCAATAGATCTGTCTCGACACGTTAACTGTGGTGGTGAATGCGAAAGCCATCTATATCTCTGTTATCGTGTGATACGCATGCTAAGTATGCAATCGTAAATATCCCTTTTCTCTGATTGACATTATAAATCATTCATGAAAGAACACAAAATTTCTTGATTAACACTGTCCAGCATGAAGTTCTCATGCGTATCTCCACTCTTCGCAACACTCGCTATCGCTCACTCATTGTCCGTTTTTCACTTTTGCTGCCGTTCTATATCTGATCCGTCTATTTTCTCCTAGATATCGCGTCTTTGCAGGTGGTACAATTTCTTCCGCCGTAGTACGTACTTATGACCTTGAGCAACGATCCCGTGCGGAATGACTTCCCCGGACATTGTCTGCAATCTAAATCCCACCCGCAACTGTTACCGCCGCCGCCGGGAGCACCCTTGGATTCAATTGCAACAATAATCATCACGGTCCTGCCGCTATATATTTAGTACAGGCCCCGGGATCGGTAGCAGAATTGGATGGGAGTGGTGCGCGATGGTTTAAGGTATGCCGCAGGCATCCAGCGGGCAAAGGGAAGAGGCTCGATGCTGATCATCAGACATAGATCGCAAAATGGGGCGCGAATTTTGATCCAATTGTCGTTCACGGATTACAGGGTGACACATCTCAAGACCACTTTCCATCAGATTGGAGAGGTGCGTTCATTATATGGATCTTTTCACACTGAAACTCACGATGTCTACCAGTACCTCGCTAGGTTGGTTGCCTGACTACGGCATGGTTTATCATTGAGCCCGAGATTCATTTGAGACAGAATTGAATAAATCAAAATTCACATCCCTTACGATCTTGATTTTTCCATTTCCTACGCCTAAATTATGGTCACGGGCTAAGAATACATGTGTCCTGCGATAGTGTCTATTCTAGATTATCTTTCTCCTGCTGGTTAGTCACTTAACTGCGCACGCACTCACACTAAAAAAATGTATGTTATATTTAGACCCATCACTCATGGTGGACCTGCCTTTACGTCCTGTACGGTATGCTTTTTCTATTGGCTGTCGGTACCGTCTAATTGTCCCTCAGGTACCAGAATTCCGTTTTGAGTGGATGATCAAGAAGCAATGAAATTTGTAGATTGGCGACATTCAATGGCCGAGTATCGTGCGAGTCCCAAGGAAATACGAGATTTACCTGATCTAGTATGAGCGCTCCGAGTAGCAGTCAACCAGAAAAAATCAATTCGGTCACATTGTTTTTCCGTGAGAGCGTCTTGTGGTCAATCAACGAGCGTCATTTGAACGGTATTATCCGCGACTTTGTGGAGACGAGGAAGATATTCGGTTTGGTTAGTTGATTTCTTTGCCGAAACTCGGTTAAATGGTGTGGTAATGGTCATTTCCAAGGTCATGATTTCGAGTTGTTGCCTTATTTTTTGGTGAGTAAACGACTTGAATAATTACAGGCGTCCGACTCATGGCTAGTCAAGGACTGACATTCAACTGAGTGCGTTGAAACCCAACTTCGCAGCACGAAGGCGATTTTCATTGCCCAATGAAGAAATTTGAGTATCTCCGGTTGCGCGCACAAGACTGCAGTCCTTGTGGCATAAACTCGACTTATTACCCGTACCTTCTCCGTCCTTGGACCTCTCGGATTATACTCTGAAAATGAGCGTGACCACTAGTACAAGCTATCGTCATATTTAAGGCAAACCAGAGCTCTCCTGCTGTTGCATCGCAACGCAACGATGAAGTTTGTCTCATCTCTCCTGTCACTTTGCATCCTATCTCAGAGTGTTTCCGCCCACTGTGAGTCTCTGATTTCCTTTCCACTCCCCACTTTTACCGACCCCATCATAGATATTTGGACGACGCTCATCGCAGGAAGCACCCAGTCCTCCGGCGCAGTGCGTATGCCACAGAACAACTCCCCGGTAACAGATGTCGAGTCAGCGGACATTACCTGCAACGTCAACCCTTCCCCTGCTACTGAAACAGTCTCTGTCGCTGCGGGAAGCACCATTGGATTTATATTGGACAACACCATTTATCACCAAGGTCCGGCAGCGATTTATCTAGGTAAAGCTCCTACCACCGCCGCCGCGTGGGATGGGTCCGGTGCGAATTGGTTCAAGGTATGGGATGGAACTCGTCTTTCTGCCTTGGTGACCAGGCGTTAACAAGGGTACAAATAGATTGCGGAATGGGGTGCAACATTCAACCCATTCACTTTCACTGACTACGGCCTCAGTCAGTTAACCACGACGCTTCCTTCTGACATTCCAGCCGGTGAAGTGAGTTCTGGATACTGCTGAATTCCCGGATAGTTTTACCAGGCTTCTGTTAGTATCTCGTCCGGATTGAACAGGTCAGTTCTACCAATTCAAAGCTTCAGCATCCGTGATTTATTATATCGATCACAAGATCGGGCTGCATGTTGTGGGCGCCCCTCAATGGTACATTTCTTGTGCCCAAATCTCCGTTACCGGGGGAGGGTCAGCGAGTCCGTCCAAGGTGTCGATACCAGGTTATGTTTCCTCGGATGGTGAGCTCTCATCTGATAAGCATGAATTATCCCTGAACCTGGATATTATATAGATCCAGGCCTTACTGTGAATATCTACTACCCTGTGCCTACGGCATACACGGTAAGAACACCTTCTATTTCTATAGCTACGCGCTCAACCGAAGGCTTTTCACTTTAGGTTCCTGGTCCAGCTGTTTTCACTGGATAACTGAAACACTTGTACCAGAAAATGTATACCCTCTTCTGTACAAATTGCGTATGGTTATATATCTGTTAACTTGGCACATCTTAGCTCTGTAATAGAGATGTCTACGTAAGTTCGAACCGCAAGCGCTTTGGTACATAGATACAGCATTATGAAAGGTTGTTTACGCCCACGGAGTTGAGAGCACGCGGTCGGCAAAAGACATGGCCGCGTGGCGTAATGGCAATGCGTCTGACTACGAATCAGGAGATTGCAGGTTCGACCCCTGCCTCGGTCATCTGGAAAGGTGGCTTTTTCAGTTTGTTCTGTGGTTGCAAATGTGGATTACCATATAGTTTTTCGTTCGAAATCGACTATCGGACGAATTATCGATCTCGTAACACTCAAGAATCAAGGATCAGGACTGGTTACTGAGCACTGTGCTAATGCTTATTACGGACTCCGTTAAATTTCCTTCTGCGTTAGCTTTGAACTCGAGGCCTAACTTGTGAAAGTAATAGTACTTGAGAGTCGACGGGTCACAGAGTCCACCGTCTTTGAACATTTAAGAATTACCAAAGAAGCGCCGCTATCGATTCCAAGCTTGTCCGATTTTCACTAGTCCCGCCCAAATTTTATGTTGCCTTTGTGCCTCTGAAAGAATGACGTCAAGCAGAATAAACCTATATCCCCGTTACCGTGATTGATTGCGTATCATGGACTTGGCATGGACTTTGTGGAGCGCTCCATTTGCTTCCATTTGCGATGGCAGCCACATGTCTATTTCAGTAAATTTCAAACGAAAATATCATGATAAGAAAGTTGTCTCAATAGTCGTCGAGATGAGCGAGAGTAGGTGTAGTCATTGAATAAGATGAACATTAAATAATAACTAATTTCTCATTCTAAAATGAAGGGATGGAAACTTTGCAACGGATGAAAGCCTATCTTAGGAATTGATGGGACCAAGCAGAGACAAACTCAATGATCCACGACTCCTGTTTCTTCATTTCCTGTTCCTTTCCCACCACGAAGACAGTCGGTAAGGCTTTTATCGTCTCTCTACCCATCGACGACCACAACGACGGCGACTGCTACACCAGTTTCCCGCCTTGATTTCAACAGCACTCACCATGCCTGGCATCTGGACCCGTCACCCGCGTTATTCACTTTTCGTGTTGGTTGTACTGGCTGCTACCCTGTATCTGCTAAATCCTTACGAGACGACCCCCACAATCTCTTCCTACTCATTCGTTCGCGACTCTGATTTGCCAGCCAGGCTGGCGCGAGCAGATGCTATTTACGAAAAGACCCTTCGGGATCGAAAAGGACTCATACGAACCTTCGGCCCGACTCCGAATGAAGTTTTGATGTAAGCACTTGCTTTTGAACTCAAATATTGATCTCACGTCCGCCAGGTTTCCTCCTGATAAGGATCCTTGGCCAGCCTATACCGTCTGTATGTGTCCAAATAACCTCGTCAGTACCCTGCTCAATCTGGTCCAATGTCCTAGGGGACTTTTTCCCAGCTTCGTATAACTGCCCACACGAGGTAGAACGGCTTGGTGCACTTGGGGATGGCGGAAAGTGGGTCTGTGGGTTGTCCCGCGTGCAAGAGAAGCCAAACTGTGTTATTTATTCTGTTGGTGCGTTGCCATACCTTCCTTCCGGATTTCGCCATCTATATTTACCGCAGGTATCAATTACGAGTCTTCATTTGAGGCGGAAATCCTCGCCAATACCCGGCATTGCGAGATCTGGGGTTATGATTACAGCGTCAAGTCATTTGGCCCGCAAATACCACGGTCCCTGGCGTCGCGCACCCATTTCTTCCCATATGGTTTGGCAGGCAGCGACAAGCCCGCGACAGATGATTCGCCTCCTATGTTTACCCTCGAAAGCATTATGGCAATGAATGGTCGGTTCCATTCATTCTTTCGCATTGACAGGCACTTACCTAACATATTAGGACATAGCCACATCGACATCCTCAAGATTGACGTGGAGGGATGGGAGTTTGAAACGTTGACTGCTCTCATCGGGCCGTACTTGCACGCTGACAAGCCGCTTCCGTTTGGCCAGCTTCAGCTCGAAATTCACATATGGGGCAAGCAGTTCGCCGAATTCTTGACGTGGTGGGAGACTCTTGAGGCTGCGGGTCTCCGACCTTTCTGGACTGAGGTTCGTCTTGATATACTGTCGCCGTAGGATTTGACTAGGCCCCCAACGTGTCATGCGACGTGCTTCGGAGCCTAGTCTTAAGGGCCTGCGTACGCTAAAACTCACTGACTATCTTCTCTAGCCCAATCTGGTATATCAGAACTACAACAAACAGAGCAACACTGATCTCGCGGAGGTGAGTGAACTCTTAAATCCATCTTTGGCTATCAGTGTTAATAGTTCAAAACAGTACTCGTTCCTGAATATTAAAGGCGACAATATATTCATCAAGGACCCTCCTAAACGACACATTGCCGCCGTTGTTGACTAGACGCTCTGCCAGAGGTGATCCTGTATAACTTATGTAGTATGCTTACTGTATCCAATCAAATGCTGTAGATTATTCGCTGTCATAGTTGGTTGGACTGTTTCTATTCATATGTTATGATATCTATCATACCTTTTTTGTTTACCGCATTTGCATTTTTTCTCTTTCCTAGGACATATACCACTTATTAAACCCGGACTTATATATATGCGATTTTAACATCTTTGGGTGTCTTTCGAAGAATAGGGAACAGGTCACATTGGTGAGTCCTATTTTGACACCATAGGCGGACCAACGGGTTAATGCCATTTTCCGACGAGCGTAGAAGCGTGCGTCCAATAGATTCGTCATTATTGCTTTAGGCATATTGCTTGGTGGCCCTTGAATATGTACCGGGCCATAACGGTCCGCCACGGATAGTGTACATCCCGAGCTGCCCTTCTGTCACTGAAGGAACTCACTGTCGAACATCGTCCCCACCTGATAGGCAACGTCTTCTTCAGGCATACACCCCATTCACTAGCCCAGATCGCCGTCGCTCATTTCTGGCACAAGACGTGCCGGGCATATCCCACTTCCATGGTTCGGGCCAGGGACATACAGACTTAGATTCGGGCCTGCCGCCCCACCACCCGCCCCGCCCATACTGCGGCTCAGAAAAGAAACACTGCACAGCACACCCGGAAACCATAGTTCTCCCGAGCGATCTTTCAAATTAGCTGAGGACGCCTCGACTCGGAGGGTTTTGGTACCTAGGCCCGAAGAACGCACGCAACTTCCAGGGATGCGAAGGGTAAGCGCAAGGTTGAGAAACCAATAGGGATAGGAACGCTACAAGCGGCACCTATCCATGAGAGGGCGATTGGGAGGTGACCGTTTGCTATTCTGATGGCAGAAAACTGGTTGGAGATTTGGATCAGTTAAAGCGGATGTACCTCGTATCTGTCTTGATGCCATGTACCGGCTACATGCGAGTCGAGAGCCAAGGGGCAGCAAAAAACTTGTGTGTGTATTACCGGGGAAAGCCATCACTGACATACAACGGTCATTAAGCGAAGGTTGTTCTTCTTATGTACATGTTGGTGAAAATTGTCGGGCCATGTGAACGAATTGGGACTACTCACTGCAAGAATTCATATACATGTGGATTACCGCTGTTATTCACAGCTCCTCATCTTCGCCAAGGCTAGAGTCCGGGCCAGACTTCAAGGACTCCTCATCACCATCCGTTGAGAAATTGTCATGGACTGTCCATAGGTCGCTAGCTAGCTCCTTAAGATCATCCATTTCATCAGAAACACCCAGGGTCCGTCTTCGGAGCGTTGAGTCGACAAATTTGGCGTAGTCGGCAAACATGCGCGCAGTACCGCTAGATGTTGAAACCGAAGAGAACATTTCGACGGGCGTGGGACCGGAACGTGACCAAGATAAGGGGTTTGTGGGCCTAAGGAAGGGCACGAATGCCGGTGGTGCTGGGTACGCAGGCGCATGCGTGCTGTCGCAAAGTAAGGTTGATATGAACCAAGCGCTGGCAAGAAAAACAGGTTTACCGTGTGATAAACATGTCGTGCAGGGACGACCGCGCGGACCACTGGTCATATGCCCCGAGACTGTGGGTTGTAAAGCCTCGTGTCACATCGCGGCGGGAGAACTGGCGACGACTCTGCAGTACAGTTGGTCAGTGATTCGTTCCAAAGAACGTTGTTCCTTACATCAAATCTCTCCATGTTAGAAAAGTTGAATATATTGCTTTTCAGGTCCTGTTCGGTCGATGTAATGTCCGTAATTCCGCATATCTCGGCGTAGGGAGATCCACGGATATTCAGTTGAGAGCAGAAGCTGGATATGTCATCCGCAGTTTTGGCCAACCTGATCAGTCACGCCGGTAGAGTTAGAGTTGCTGTGGGGTCTGGTGATCAAACTCTCTTACCTCAACGGAAGAGTCGAGCTTTCGATGTGTGCGGAAATTATTCCGGATGTATGGTAAAGATCATTCTGCGACATAACGGGAGTGAATTTTTGTCCTAACCAAGATATTGTAGAAGTAAAGCCCACTTCAGTTTTCAGCTGTGGTGAGACTTCGTAACGGGCCCACACAGAAGGGGATTGTATGGGAACTGTGAGAGACGCGGTCTCGCTTAGTCCGCGCAGATAGATCGCGTCATTGATCAATCTTCTCGCTCCTCTACGCTGAAAAAAGTGTTCACGGAAAAGAAGCTGATATGTGGGAGATTTCATACATCTTCGACATCAATATCCCATCCATTTGAATTCGAGAGTAAAGGAAAGGCCAGACATGGGAGCTTCACCACATCATCGTGTAGCGCCGTGAGGAGCGAGTGAATGAAGGGACCGAAGCTAGCCGTATCATTTAAAACTTGGATTCCCTGTCCGGACATGACCTTGTGAAAAATTACGAGATATTTAGAACGCACCTGGATGGAATCAGACTCTTCAAGAAATAATCTAACAGAGCCTTCCAATAGAGAAGCATCCTGGGAGTTTCGTGATATTATAGGAAACACAGCACGCGAGAAACTAAATTACCTCATCAAACTGCCTGAAGTACTGTTCTCCCTGCTTCCAGTCTCCGTCCGTGGTCTCCCAGTCCAGGGACTGGGGAACCATTTGGATAGTCTTACGGGCATAGTAGACACGGCTGAAGTCCGACCAGTATCTGATGGTTTCACGGTGGCGCCCATCGTCGCCCTGAGGTGCCTCTGCGTTGTCCTCGTCGTCGATCTTTCTCGGAGTGATCAAGTCTTGCCTGTATTCCACAACGCCACCATCCCTTGTATTCTAATCAGTTC